CAGCATACACCCCAAATAGGCGATGGTCAGCTGGTGACCATCAGCACAGCCAACAGCCAGGCAGCAGCAGGGAGAAAAAAGCAGAGAAAAATGCATTTTTTTCGGAAAAATAAATAAATAAATAAAATAAATTAAAAAAATAATTATTTTAATTGTTTATATTATTTAATAAAGCATTATTTCAACCCTTTTTGTATATACTGTACACCTGCTGCTAGCTAGCGCCCGCCTGGCGGTGTGGTTGCTGCTGCTGCTGCACACATTTATGTTGTACTATTAGAGCTAAACGCAGCAAAAAGCAGCGAAATAAACCAAAAAATATAAAATAAAATATATTATTTATTTAAATTTAAATTTATTTTGGGTTTTTTGTGGTTTTTTTTGCATAAAGACGAACAGCAGCAGCAGCAGCAGCAGCAGCCGAGCATGGTCCCGCCTGCTGCTGCTGCTGCTGCTGGGGTGTCACTGCAGCTCCTTTATGTTAAAAAAAAAAGAAAAAAAAAGAAAAAAAAAGAAATAAATAAAAACAATTTATTAATATTTATTTATTTATCGCAGAAGGCCTTTATTCTGCTTCTTTTTTGTTGCTTATATCCTCAGCTGCTTGGGGTGTATATGCAGCTCACCTACAGATATATTTATATACACCCTTTCTCTCTCTTTTTTTTTCTTTTCCTTTTCTCTATAGAACCTCCTTGTAGCTTATATTAAATATTTTTGTTTATTTATTCATTCTTTATTTTATTAATGCTTCTTTATAAAGCTTATTTATCTCCTTTCTCTCTGCTTCTACCTATATAACCATTGCAGCACCACTGGGGTGTATGTACACCACCTTGTTGCTGCTGCAGCAAACAAAATAAAAACAATTCTATACATTCAACCTGCTGCTGCTGCTGCTGTTGCTGCTGCTGCTGCTGCTGGTTGTGTATATACGACTGAAGCTGCACCGTTAAGTCAGCAGCTCTCTCTCTCGCTGCTGCTGCTGCTGCTGCTGCTGCTGCTGCTGCAGTTGCTGCTGCAGTTGCTGCTGCATGATATCTCCCCTTTCTCCCCCTTTTCTCTCTTCCTTTCTCTCTCTTTCTGCTGTCTATACACCCCAGCTTCCCCCAAACCCCCTACAAAGCTTCATATGTCGTATAGCAGTACCCAAGGGGCCCCCGGGGGCCCCCGTGCTGCTGCTCCCCCCAGCAGCAGCAGCAGCAGCAGCAGCAGCAGCAGCAGCAGCAGATACAGAGCTCTCAGGTCCCGTATTGCCTCGTCTTGGAGCCTAATGAAAATAATAAAGTTTCTTACGATTGCCTGCTGCTGCTTTTGCTGCAGCAGCACAGCTCAGGAGAAGCAACAGCAGCAGCAGCAGCAGCAGCAACAGCAGCAGCAGCTGCTGCTGCTGCTTCCTCCTTTGCTGCGACTGCAGCAGCGAATTGCTGCGGGTCTTTCCTATGCCTGGTCTTCTGCGGTGCAGGGAGAGCAGCAGCAGCAGCAGCAAGCTGCTGCTGCTGCTGCTGCTGCAGCAGCTGCTACCCCACCACCCACGCCTCAAGAGCAGCAGATAGATGCATCACAACAACAACAACAGCAGCAGCAACAGCAGCAGCAGCCTA